CCGATGCACGCTTATTCGCGGATCTTTGTTAATTAAAATCTCAGTAACTATTGCGAATCTAGCAAAATGGTATAGGACTTTTCGACTCAGTTTTATTCCTTCTACCTGCCTACGAGAGATGTTAAACCAATTCTGGGACACCCTGTATATAAAAATATACACGAAAAAAAAAGATTTGCTAGAATAGCAAGAAATTAGTTACTATATGGCCAGCAAAAAGACATTTGTTAAGTTTATTAAAATTTTTGTTTTGCCAACAAAACATTTTGTTGATGAAACAAAAAATTTCGTAGAATCAACCATTTTTCTTGCTAACCATATAATAGCAAAACTTTTTTTTTCCGTGTATATAAATATATATATATTTTATATAATTCTTTTATACTGCACAGTCAATTGTATAATTAAGTTTTTTTCGAAGCCAATACGAGGAAAAATAGTTTAAAAAATAAGATGTTAGTTTAATATAATAATCAATATATTGTAAAAAATATAGCGAGTGCGAGACGTATTTAAAGAAAAGTAGATTTAGAGTCTTGTATATTCGCGAGAGTCTGTCACGTCAAAACCAGACTTTGCCATAGCAAATTTATGTCGTTCACCGATTTAACAACGTCACGGTGCGATAAAGCGATCAATCGCAAGATAGCGTCGCGACGCTGTTGCCAGAAGCAAACAAACCCGCAACGATGCGTATACCGCGAACATTATTTACGTGTTACAACGGGAGCAATTCGAGAGAAAAAGCAACATGCAAAAATAACCGGAAGAAGCACAAAAATCTTGTTATTAGCGTCGACTTATTCGTGCTCTTGCGAGACACGGAGGTGAAGAGACGACGGGGTGTGTAGGACGAAGGAGGAAACACGCAGCGGGGACGAAAGGAGGCAACAGCTTATCCTCCCCCGGGGAAAAATCGATTTATAGCACTCGCGGGGTTTATGAACGCCCCCGCGGAAGAAAGGTACGTCGCTTAGGAGCTACTTACAACAGAAGTTGGATAAAGTTTCACGGAGCGCTTCGCGTTTTTGCGTTACTTAAGGCACCGCCTCGTCGTTGTCGTCGTTGTCGTTGTGGTGCTCGGGTTAGAATAACACGCGTTGATCTATATAGTCTATATAGCGAAATTACCGACCTCGTCCGACTTTAACGGTGAAAGAGAGCGTCAGCGGCTTTGCCACGTCTCTTCCTTGCTTGAACGACAAAATCCGAAAGGATACATGAAGTGGGAAAAACCAAAACAGAATTTACAAAAACTCTAATTGTGAGACAAATCAATCACGGTAGACAATGTAAAAAAAAAAGTCAAAACTTAATTCTTCCTGTGCGCCGAGTCATCTCGTTCTTTCTTTCTTCACTTACAACTCTGAAAATGCATATGCAGTAAATCCGCAGCTTTCTCGTAAAAAAAATTTCTATATTGACAAACGAGATCTTTTTGTTGCTAATTTGAGACGTTCCATTCCAAATTTCCAAAAACTTAAAATTTCTTAAAATCCTTTCTCATAAATATTTTGAATGAAAATTTTCAGAATAGGAGTATTGTTCAAAATAAAAGTTTTATGACAATCTTTTGTCAAAACGGATATTTCTTATATAAACAATGGTTATATTAACAATGAAACAATAAAATAATAGAGATGTAACGTGCCAATGAAAAAGGTCTATGTTTATCTAACTTCTTTCGGAAAACACAATTTTCAATAGAGTTCGAATGATCTAAACCAGTAAGTTATTTCAGAGTTTAAAACAAAAGAAAGGAATCCAAAACAAAAGAAATAATAATAGTAATGATTGATGGCAGAAGTGACAGGATATAGAATTGACATTTTTGACACATAACACATTTTTCTTGCGTTGATGATATTGAAATTTATTGAATTCAAAAAAATCCAAAAAATAAACATTTGCTTTCAATAACATTGGTTGACTGACAGTTTTCAGGCTTTGTAATATGTACTACTTTGTAATATGTGGGAAAAGTGGTATGAAAGAGCCATTTTCATTTATTCGGCAGTTTCTGAACGAATCTCACGGAAGTTTTATTTTTTATAAACGCAATGTATTAGTTTTTACATTTTATACAGTTTGAGTCAATGAAACAAACTTTTCCGAGTGAGATAAAAGAAAAAATTTAACTCCAGTTATTCGGAAGTCCGTGAAATGAACAAATTAAAATATTTCTTGCTGTTAGTTAAAGGAGTGCAGACTACGACTACCGACTTCACACGACGTTTTAAACAATATTCGACTCGAATAAATGTGTATAATGCTAAACATTTGCACGAACAAGCGATGCGGCGGTGCCGACGGATGCAATTTCAAACGAGCGAATATATTACGCGAAATAATCTCTCTTGGTAATTGTATTCTTTCTTCTTAAATATATAATTCATTATCGACAAGAAACTGTCTTGCGTTACGCCGCTGATAATTCAAGTGCGTATTCATTACTCGCGCGACGTGTAAGTATACCGTCACGTATAGACGTTGCGTCGCGTAAATAATATATATAGATGATGTCCGTTTTTCAAGACTTCCTTCCTTTCGGCGGAACACAATCGACTCTCGAGGAAAGAAACTTGTGACGAACGAGATTGATACATTTTTATTTGAGACTCAACGCCACCCGTGGCGTCGCCGCCATTCATCCTCAACGCACGGATACCAGCGGTTTGTGGTCCATAGCGATGAAGCCGTCGACCGTCATAATGCGCGTGTGACGTCCGAGGAACCCTCCCGGCTTTGCCCCTAAACAACCGCGAAATCGACCGTTCGATCTTGTTGATGGGACAAGTCGCGTGAATTCGTTCTGTCGCGCTCACAAGCTTGCGTGTCTAATTGATCGGCGTAAACAGTTCCGTGCTTTCCGAACTTGTCAGAAGGAAGATGACACTGCGGCCTAAAAAATGTTTTTAGTTTTAGAAAAAAAAAGGAAGAGAGAGAGAGAAACATAATCGTGTTTTTTCGATAAAACGATTTTGCTTTGCGGACTCGCTAATGCGGAACGTAAACGTTACGATATACCTTTTCAGAAAAAAATGAAGTTGCTTCAATTAAAGTCGACGTCACACGGGCTATCACAAAAACAAATAGGTAGTTTAATCGCATATGCGATTAATTTAATGTCTAGATTCTTTAAGCAACTATATTTGCTATGTGCGGTGTAATAATATTGATGTTGAATCAACAGGATATATTTCAATTAAATTGATGTTGTTGATTCAACATCGTTTTTTTTTCCCGTGTCGACACTCATACGCTCGAATCACATTCGCACGTTTATCTTACTTTTTCGATCATTATTATACACATTTGGACGCTCGCGTATATATACATTCCGAGAGTACTTATTTGCTTATACGTACATACGTGCGTGCGCGACGGAGCAGCGCGCGTTGACATTGATTTCCTTTGTCAGGTTGCGCGAGGAGCGGCACGCGGGTCGGGGGACGGTTGCGTAACAATGCGAAAACGCAAGAGAGCATCCTGACGAAAAGCTCGTATCACATTCCCATAAGTGGCGGCGAGGAATCCCGCAGAGACGTCCTCTCTCTCGCGTCTCTCTTTCTCTTCATATTCCCGCGTATAAGGACGAAAAGAGAGGCGCCAGGTAAGGTATATATACATATATATGTATATATGTATGTAAAGAGAGAGAGAGAGAGAGAGAGAGAAAAGTGAGTATATACGAGCGGTGCCCCGTGGCGAGGACTGAATAACTCGTAATTGGGCCTCCTGGCCCACCGCCCATTCACGCTTTCGTCAGACGGCCACAAAGACGTCAGGCCGCAAACCGGGAAGGCCCCGTCGTCGCGAGCTTCTTCACATCCCTCTTCTCCCCATGACTCGTCTTCAGAAAAGTATAATAAACGCTGCAGGTCGTCGAAATCTTATGGGAGAATAATTGACTACTGTATGAAACCGCAGAGAGAGAGAGAGAGAGTGAATTATCTTTCTGTGGGATTCAGCAGTCGGACACGCAGCAAAACAAGTTTGTACGCGTGATGTTTATTTAAAAGACTTGAATGTATAAAACAGAATGAGAGTTGATGTTTGACACAACGAGAAAGCACGACTTGAAGTTTACCCAAACTCTGTAATAATTCATTAAAAAAGCACAAGTTCCTGAGAAGAAATCCAAAATTATAATAAACCTTAGCTATAATCCACCGATAGTAGTAGAAAGGTGTTGATCGTGAAAAACGCTTTCTTTACACGTTTTTTCAAGATGACAAATATGTCCAACCGACAAAAAATCTTCTTTCACATTTGTTTTCAGCGACTGAAAAATACATAAAGATACCAAGTTTTACAAAGATCGAAGAGGAAGTAGTTAATGTGCGACTTTACCAAATTCAGAAACTTTAAATTGTCATATCTTCTAAACTAAAGCTGTCTCCCGCAAAATTTTGGTAGGGAATTATTCAGTATGATTTATCTAAAGCGCAACAAAACTAAACAGAAAATTGATGAAAAGTGACGTAAAATGCATATTTACTTCTCAGTATTTGCTTGCTTATATTCTCCAGCATCTTTAATATACCGAAGTTAAAACTTGACATATATGTTTCTTAAGTAATAGTCTTTCATTATGTGTAGTGTCACTACTGAACTTTGGTTGTGTCATATCGTACCATATCTCATTCTTATCGTTTTCTTCAATCTAAGATCTAATCTAGGATCCAATCTAGGATCGAAACATAAATCTATTTAATAAAATACAATTTTTTACACACTATCACCTTTAAAGTTTATATTGGGTTTTCATCTTTGGATTTTATTACAATGTTTTATTACATTTCTGCATTGATTGAAAAAAAAACAAATTGACAAACTTTCTAGTAGTTTCGAAGATATAAGCGAAAAAAACTAATTTTTTCTAGAAATAACACCGACAATTTCTGAGTGGGTCTGGGAAACCCATGTCTGCACTACAAAGAGTTAATTATCTCTCATTATTATCGGTACCTCAAACTTATAAAATCTATAAAAACTGTTAGAGAAGATTAGTATTTTAATCAAAATTAATCAAAATTAATTTTTCAAAAATTATTTTCTGCATGCTTAATTTATTTTTGACAGTGTATATTCACACGTGAAAAAAAGTAATTGAGTGTTATTTTTACACAAAATTATTATTTGCAACTTTACGATCGATTTTGAGAATTTGCCGACTAATAATCAAACGTCGTTCTCTTCTTCGACGTCCTCCGCTTCGATATAATTTGGCAATTCATCCCCTTGAATAAGATCGTTATTATTCTCGAGATAGTTTTGATCTATTTTGTCACGATCCACGGCACGTTTGACAGCAGAATCATTCTGATCATCTACCTTCATCGTAGAGAACGATCGACCAAACATCGCGTTGAATAGACTGACATCTCTGAAATTTGTATCGCGCAAAAAGAAAGTCTTTATAATTAGTAATAAAAAATTATCGCAAAAATTGTTTTACACCATACAAAACTAGTTACTGTATTATAATTGTCAGTATGAAAAAGATAAAAAATATTGAGATTTTTGTCAACGTTACCGAATGCGATGTGGATATAACCAAACGATATTTTGAAATCTCTTATTGATTTCAGATTGAATTAGCGGTATGTTCATGACACTCGTCAAAATGTAAGATATCAATTTATTCGGCACACTTGCAAATTTTCTGTCTATTGTTTTCTGTTTATCGTCGTTTCTGTCTTTTTTCAAGCTTTTTTTGCAGTCTTTTATCTCTCTGAACTCGCGCTCTATTTGTTCTTTCATCGACTCCTTCTTAGGTCGATCTGCAGTTACATGACAAATCAAAAATTCTTAAGAATTTACATATATATACATATATATAATACATATATATATATATATATATATATATATATATATATATAATATGTATTACAAGATTTTCTTTCATCAAATGAACATAACGAGAGAATCGAAAAAGTTTGATCAAATTTGTGCGCAAATAATTTACCTTTGTTATAATAAAGAAGAATTAATTAAAGATAAAGTGTAAAGTGTGAATAAAAGAATTAATTAAAGACCACGGTAAGACTATCCTTTTCCTTTGTAAATAATAAAGTAAAAATTCAGGAACTTCTCTTAATCTGAAGAAATTAACCTTCTACAGCATTTGCTGCTTTCCTATTTGCACAGTACATTTCGTAACAGGATGTGGGTTTATCTGGTTTTTCGACTTTGCTTTTTTGCGAAGTCCGACAAACTTTCCGCGTTCTTTTGCAGTTGCGCGACTTTGTCGTTTCGTTCTTCTTCTTTTTTTTGTCGTCGGAACAGCTCACGTAAAATCTTCGTGTCGTTTCGCTCGTATCGAATTCGCGAATTGCACCGGAAGTCAGAATCGGAAAGAGTCTGCAATTAGGCGGTACCGAGGAAATCGACAGGCGTGAGTAATATCGACATTTGTCCGAATTATGACGGTTGTTTTTGTCGCAACGGAAGTTGTTTCTTCGTCTCAACGGATGCTCACAGACTTCGCGCAGTTCGTCGCAGTTCTTCGCGCTCTTGACGTCGCTGCAAGTTTTCTTCTTTCGCTCGGGACACACTTTACGCTCGCACGCAGATTCACGGTTCCGTTGTTCCCACTTTCGATCATACCATCCCGAACGCAGAGTCTCGCAAGTTCTTTCCTTCTTCTCACAAGTTCTTTTCTTTTTTTCGCAAGTTTTCTTACAGCGTGTCTTGCTCGCGACTTTGCACACTGGTTTTGAACGTCGCGACTTGCACCCTGACGGTTCCGGGTGTTGCGACTTGAACCGATCTTCCCACTTGTTGGATTTCCCCGACTTACATGACTGCAGTCTCGCCAAGAATGGGCGGCCTGCAACGATCGTCGATCGATCGAGTATTGGAAAAAATATTGTCGATAAGCATTTATTGATTACTTAAACTAAATACAATTGAAAATTATAATAAAACTAAATATAGAAAACTAAATATAATTGAAAAATATTAATTGAGAAAATTTAAAAAAAAAGTTACGTTTAAAATTGCACAGAGAAAGAAATACCTAAATGTGGACTTTGCAAACGAGACAGGAAGTCATTGTGTTTAAAATACACAGGCGATTGAGCGCTAAGTCTGACGTTTTCCGATATTGTCAACCGTATTACGGAGATGGATTTTCCCAGATCATTGGGAATTGCCGGCAAATGAATTTTCCCGCTATTACGAGCATTTTTATGTTTACAGGAGGAGTCGAGCAAACTCGAAAATTGACGTTTGGATACTTTCAAGGACGCACGTGTTTCGCGCTAATTCGTTGCGAATAAAAATAAAGTTTAATGTAATAAAACATTTTTAAGCATCAAAATTTATTGTAAGCCAGTCTTTAAAAAAAATAAAAAATTTTATAGTAATTATACGTATAATTTATAACGAAATGCAAAACTAAGTAAGTTGATTAAACTTCGTACCCGCAATAATTTAAATATGTGTGATAAATCCTGCAATGCCCACATCCTGAATCCACTCATATTTAGTGGTTTTTGTATTTCATACAAAATATTAATTTAACATTTTTGATTTTCACTGAGAATTTTGAAGATTTGACATATCAGGAAATTCTGTTGTCTTATGTCAAGATTGGTCTGATCTTTCACCGGATCGATATTGCGTTCGACACTTGACGATCTTTCGTGGACATCTTTTACATCGATAGTGCAATTTGAATACAATCACAAATCAAAATTGCATTTTCTACCTATTTAAATATTAATAGCAAATATCAATAACTGTTAAATGTTTAAATAAAAATACAGCAATAATTTTGTATCGTTTTCTTTACTACTAATCACAAGAGAACATATCGTCGACAAATATCGATTACAGAATTTTATGACGGCGAGAACTGCATTATCTGCTCTCTCGCGCCTTTAAACGAAAAATCTTATTACGCAGAAAAATCTGATCACAGACGTCGGTCGAAAGGACGTAATACAATATCTGCATTTGCGGTAGTTTTTAATGTAATCTAATGCAACGCTCGCCGCGAACGAGTTTAATGATCAGCGAACGTGACTCTGCGCTTGCTGGCGTTCGCTTTTCTTCTTCTCCCATAAGCCTTGACCTTCTTGGGAAACGCAAACTTCAGATCCTCGAGATGCTCTAATTCTTCGTCACCGCCATCTTTTGCATTATCGTTGGACGTGGTCTGTTGCAGCGAACTCCAAAGTTTATTCTTTGTGCGGAAGTTTTTGTTATTTACAAATCATTTGTGCAAATTAATAATAAAATTGATTTGATAGTACAAGAACTTTTTAAAAAAAATTGTTTTTTTTATTTTTTTATTTCGAGAGAAGCTCTTTGTATATCGCGCGAAGCTTTAGCGATTTACTTGGTATTGAGAGACGGCAGTTGACTGGTTCGGATTCTGTTTCGATATTCGCGCGGCACACGAACTTCCGTCCAGCAGAATTCGATCTTGCTCGTTCTCCATTGATCGAGAATCGAACGAAACGGATCCCACAACTTCTCCCTGTTATTGTCGCTGATTCGAATCTCGAGAGAGAAAAAAATGTTATTCACAAACGATTCGGCGTACTTTTTATATATGACTTACATGAATGAGATGGATCACAAATATCAATCAAAATTAATAATATATAAACCAATGCGCTTAATCGATAAAATTAACATATCGCACTTATTATATGTACCGCTTTCTTGAGAGTCGAAACTAATTTTTCGTTCATATCCGCTTTTTTCGATGTAAACATTCAATTTTGCTAATAAATTTGTGTTTTCAAAAGAAAATTTCTCACTTTTTAACCAAAAAGATATTATGTCATTATGCGCTTTATATGGCGAAACAAATTACGAGCGAAATTTCAGGATATAAATCTTTTATCTCTTTTATATCTTTTTACCGCGCGAATATCTGAACAATAATTTTAAAATTAAATTTAATTGACGTTTGTGTAATGTGACTCATATGTGTGTACGTATATTCCTTCTTGTTATTCTTGGTCTCAAGTTTCTAAGAGTCATTTATCTGTTAGTTTGTCAAATTATTAAGTCACTTACCGTGTGCATTTATCGCGCACGTATTTACGAAGAGAACAACATCGTTGCAATCATGGCGTTGCATACAATACTCGTCCACCGAGTGGAGCCACGAAGTCGTTACTTAATATTCGCGTAAGGGTGTTGCAGAACTTGGAACTTGGTCTACGTCGTTTCCGACCGCATTAACGAGCCAAGTTCTCGCCGTTGACGGGCTTGATACTCGCGGGGGAGTAATTTAAGCGCGCACTTGGTTGCATAGATGGTGCATCAATGTGTGTAGATAATGAGTAGAATTGGCGAGGTAGTTGCATCGCCACGTAGGCACGAAGTTGCACAAGCGAAGTTGCACATTAAAATAGAGATCGGAGAGTTCGAAAACACATCGTGTCTGAACTAGGAATTTCTTCGTCTTCAAAAAATCACTCTCTTTGCAAAATTAATTCCATCAACACATATAACACAATTTATCAACAAATTTATGATAAATAAATATTATAATAAATATTGTTAACAAGTATTAACTTTTCAAAGCAAAACTACAAAATTTATTTACAGCAAATAACAATTTCGCGATTGCTCCGTTTACCGAATGAAGCGGATGAACAGTTTCGGCAACGGAAGAACTTTCGCGATTGTATTTATTTATTTATTTAATTCGCGTTTTTTGGCAAAATCGGCACGTGCGTGACACGATCAATTTTGCCCGACAACGAGGCACCGCATTGCGAGGTGCATTTCTCCGCGGACGCCTCGAGTTCGATTAATTCGAAACAAAGTTCAAGTCAGGTGACGTCGAGCCGGCGGCGCGAGCGAGCGAGCGCAATCGAGCGAGTGTGCGGAGAGCTTGGTAACGTAATACGGAGTCAGACTACCTGAACGATCTGACAGCAAGCTCGAAACAAAATCGGTCGGCGCATCCGATCGCGCGCGTTACACACACACACACACACACATATATATATATACGTGCGCGCCCACATATACGTGTCGTCCGGGGTTCACGAAGCACAACACATTAAATTTACGAATAAATTTCATACAACACACATCACGTGAAGCGTTACATAAATATAATTGAAGAAATAATGATGTAATCGAGCACACACACGGCAAGAGACGCACTCGTGCAATTAAACGATCGTCGATGAGTATATCGATAACGATATTACTAATTACCGGGAATAATATGACAGTAAATGAATATTTTGTTATTTATATATGTCGGGAAGAATTATATATATAATGAGCGCCGCGAAGAGTATTAACTGTCACACATTTTATCCTTCTCTTTCTATCTCTACGGTTTGTTATAAATATTGTTAATTGTTGTAGAGAATTAAAACGTTATATCGCGCTACAATAGTATCGAAATTATAATAAATTGTAATTTTTACAGCTCCTCTATAAATGTTAATTCCGAAGCTATGATTTTAAATTAAAAATACTCAGTAAAATTATTACGCGTAATTTCTCATAATGATAATAAATATACTCTCGCGTAATGTTAATATAATAATACATTCGTTGCCCATTACGCGATGCCTCCACTGAAGAGAGCTCCGGCTTCATTGGAGCATGCTCTGTGCGGAAGAGACAAACGTCAGCGGCGAACAGATCGATTATTCGCGTCCATGGAAACCGCGGATGGACCAATGCGAAGAGGCCACTCTCCTTTTTGGACAGGCGCACCTGCCATCGTCATTTGCGCGGACCAATCGTTTATTCACTACGTCGATTATTTGTTTATTATTCATTTTCTCGTAGTTTTTTCAATATTGTTTTATATATTGTCTAAGTTAGTTCAAACTTAAAGTTTCATTTTTTTATGTAATTTTCCTTGATAAAATTTCTAAACAATAAAAAGGAAAAACATTCCAAATGTAATTTTCAAATATTGAAGGTTTGGGTTTCATATATCTTTTTAATACATTTAATTTGACAAATACTACGGCCTTATTAAGTGTAAACCAAGTCACGAAATAAGACTTTACAGTCATACACCGGATGTACGTGTAAAATATATATATGTTTAATCCTTTGTAGTCAGACGTGGGTCTTCCAGACTTACTCAGAAATTACGCATCGGCGTTTCTAGAAAAAATTAGATTTTTTTTAACGCTTATATCTTCGAAACTATTAGAGATTTTTTCAATTTGTTTTTTTTTTTTTTTTTTTTTTTTATCTACGCAGAAATATTCAAACTTTTGATTCAAAAAAATTGAAAAAATATTGATTTTTCACGGAAATATTCGATCTTAAAATCGCACGGGTCTCACAGACCCGGTCTGACTAACTCGTCGTCATTTTTGAGGTCTGACCACGACGAGTTAATGTGTAAATTTTACAAATTTTCTAAACTGAGAAAAAAAATTGTTGGACCGACTAAATTTGTACAGTTATTTGATTTATTCAACAATTATTTAGTTGCACTAGAAAAGAATTGGTTCATTCAAATCAACCATCACAATTTTCTTATCAAAATCTTGTGTCATCGTAGTAACGTTTATGGTTGAACGTATCTGGTTCACTCAACTAAATATTTAGTTGGGTGAAACAGAGTTTGCGTTTTTCAACAAATTGTTTTTCTCAGTATATATTAATTTTCACGTTAAAAAATATATTTTGCACGTACATCTAGCATATATTCTATTGTTTTCAGTTTTACTCTTTTGTTTTAGTTTATACTTTTAATTTAACTGAATAAACTTATAATTCGAGGAAAGCTCATTTGCTATTTGCGCGTAATTTATTTATAATCACACGTCACGGAGATTTTGTTTATTTTTCTTAATTATAAATAATTGTTCTTGCAACAGTATATTTATAATTGTTCTCGGAGCGATTGTACCTCTATTGAAATGCGTTTTTTTACTTTTGCTCAAAGCCGAGCAAAAACAATGGAGGATATATTAAACCAGGTTACACATCGCGGGACAAGGGATAAAGAAAAGGCGAAGTCGCTTCTCGCGTCTTTAACTCGACTTCCTTGTTGTTTGCATAGGTCATAAATCCTGATAGAACATAGACACGGGAGATGCGTTGCGATGCAAAAACGCTGAGTAAAATCTATCGCCGCTCGTAATCTTATCGAGCAAGAAACCCAGAACCATACCCGGAAGCGCATAAATTCTGCGCTCTGTATTTCTCTACTATTTCCGGTTTTCTTGTCCTCGAGGTTTCATCGCGTACGACAAACCTCGCGGTTCTATACACGTAAACTGAACTCCAAACAAAAGCAGTTTGTCAAGCAATTTCATTAATAAACGAAATGTTTGAAAGATGAGAGAATATTTTTTTTTAAAGAAAAGTGTCACAATGTTTAATAAAATTGCACCCGTAATTTATAAACTCTAGTTAAAGAAACCACGTACGTAAAACCACATAACAAATAAAATAAAATACAACAAGATAAACAAAGAGAGCATCATTTCAATCAACAAATAAATTCACGTAATTCCGAGAATATGCGTATAAACGTGAAAAGCACACACAGTCGATTTCGATGTAATATTCCATTTACGGAAAAACATTTCCACCAAGCGCATCACGCGCGTTCGTGCTTCGCATTATTGCAACACGATATACATACTTTTCGTGCCGTGCACGCGCGCGCGCCAGACAAATACGCGTTGTGCATCGTTTAAAGTTGAAATAATAATAATGGCAAAAGTCGTTTGTGTGATCTTATGACTGAAATATGCACGCGTCATACACGCACGTTGCACGCAACACGTGTATACGCAGAAAGACGCACACACGCGTGGGCTGCGTCTATATACGTGTGTGCAGTACGCGCGACGCACAAACGTATCGCATTACCGTCATAGAGCAACGCCCATTATCAGTTTCGGATAACAAGAGCCCGTGGAAATCGACTGGCGCGCAATCCGACAAACGCGCGCGTGATTGACATCCGTGCGACACAGCGCGTCTCGCGCGCTTTGCGCGCGTTCGATTCCCGCCGCCGCCGCCGCCGTAGTTTACGAAAATCGCAATCCGCTAGCAGCCAACAACACCGTTTTGCTAAAAAAACAAACGGATTGCGTGTCGTCCACACGCGCGATCAGAAAATCGCGCCAAACGATTGCGCGTCACGGCGTCACCTTTCAAGGCAAATTGCCGCGTTTTTTGTTGTTGTTTTCTTTTGTTTTGCGAGAGTTTTATGAGCAATTCGCGAACGCAGCGCAGACCGGTGTGCTTTTCGGAAAACTCGCAAATTGTAAATCTTTTCACGGGGGTAGTAGTTCGAGCTTTATTTTTGACAAAAATAAAAACTTTCTCAAATTTGAATTCCGCGGGAATATTTCATATTTCGGCTCCTGAATTTGAAATGTTCTTTGCGACGAAACTGTTAACAATATTAATCGTTCGTTTGCTGTTTAACCAATTTGCAAAACAGGTTTGCGAATCCGGAATCTGACGAAAGGGGAAGAAGAAGGGAACGACGGGAGGACACGTTTCGTGTCGATCGTATCGGGTCCTCGAATCTCGGAATTCGAATTTGTCGTCTTATCTACAAATTCCATCGTAATTGCTTATCTACGAGGTGCCTGCACGCCCGGAACGCGCGCACCATAGGGCCATATCTACCTACTTTATGTCTCGCCTCACAGGAACACGCGCGCGCGGCGCATCCTCACATGTTCGCCCGTTCACTCGATTTCGGGACGTTTATCGTTTGCGAATACATCGTATACACGTTTCGACCTTACGTTTTCTTTTCTCTACTTAACAGGCCAGTTCCGGTGGCACCTTTCCTCGCGATCAATTATTGTCGCAAGAGTTGA